ATTCTTCAAACACGAAAAATAAAATTTTCTGTCAACTGTTGTCTCAGAAACCTGACGAAATGAGAGAGAGAAATGCGCGATGGAACAACATCCGTCCAAGGGGAATGGCAACACACTTTAGAGGGTCGGGAAAAGGCCAAAAGGTTTATCCGTTAGGCGTACAAATTGACGAATTTTAACCTTTAGTCGTAAAAAAAAATTAACCGTAGAAAAATTTCTGGTGACCACAATCGAAAGATATTGACCATTAGCCGTAAATTGGCCGAAATTTTAATATTTAGCCGTAAAAGGTGCCGTCTCCCCATTGAGACTCTCACATCATAACTTCAGTAAAGCTAATTCAACTGAGATGGACTACCGCATAGTGGACCGTTAATCCCCATGTCTAAGACTTAAACCCTTGAAAAAAGAGATCTTGAAAAAGATGTCTGTGCTGACGAACTTTTTATCGCCAGAGTTTGTCTAGTGTAATATTTGTTATGATGCTTTTGATATGCTGATGTTTGATCAAACCCGTGAAGTAGCAAATAAACAATAAACAAACATGCAAAATAAAAACGTGGTCGCGGTTCCAAGTTATAATACTGATTACTTTTGTTTAATGACAAGCCAGAGGTGACAAACAGCCATAAATCGACATAAAGACGCTTCTTCTTAAGAGTTAAATCGTGTTTTACTCATAAGCCGGAAAGCTTTAGAAACTTCAACAAGCCTGTTGCCTCAATCCGAATTACTGGGGATAAACACAGCTTTATCTGATCTTGAACAATGTCTGTTTATGGCCGATACGATCGTGGATCGTCATATGTGGTACAATTTGTCATTTCTGAGGCCATATTATCTCATCTGTCCAGAATTACCTTTGTTCCCTATTAATTATTCCTGCCTGGTCTTTATCATAAATATTCTGTTAAGGCCAGCTTCTCATTTTCTCGCCGTTTGCAAATTGGAGATATCTTGACGTAGCTTATTTGACATCACCCGGCTTAGAAGTTAAAACGTTTCTTCCATTCGGGTGAAGATAAGTGGAATAAGCAGAACATCGAAAGACTCCAATAAACTTTGAGATTATCGCCGTTTGAGTGCAGAGCAAGCTTTACATTTTTTAGTTCATCCACGCTAGTGTATGATCAACCCTTGAATTAAGCGCTAACTTAATCACCTCCATTATAAATCCGTCACATAAAGAGCAGTCTGATTATGTATACTGATAGTTATAATGTCTCCCTCACCCTTGAAGAAAAGTGCATGAGATATAGAAATTTGCTTGCCTATTTACCTTTTGAAAGGTGTTCTGAGATCTCTTCGAGAGGCGACGTTATGAACGATACTCGTGTTTTTAAGAGGGATATTCAGACACATTGTTTCAATCGAAATAATCTGGATTGTCTCAAACTTACTTTCAAATTTATCGAGAATTTTATCAGAAATTTCTTTACGAGTCATTTTTATGTTTAAAGATAGATTTCGATTCTAAAACAGTAATTAAACAATAAACCCCTGGATATACAGCAGATTGCTGAACACCGGAAACCTTTGACGCGACCGCATTTCAAACATTTTATTATTCCTCGTACTAGAGAAAGAGGTATACGCAATTTTGGTACTCACCTCAAAAATTAAGAGATAGCTCCACCCGATAGTCCAAACAAGAGAGGAAGCGGCTATTCTGTTTTTGCGGGACAATCGTGTGATCTGCGGTGAAAGAAAGGAAATTGCATCAATACTTGGTCGTCTGCGTTAATCACTGGGGCGGAGTTTTCGACAGGATTGCGTCAAACATGGGTAGAAGACTGCCCACAAAAATTGCCGACTTGTCATACAAGCACTTGAAAAACCTTCAGAGAAGTGCCTTAGAATATACGGAAAACTCTCAAAACTTAACAGGATGTCGTAGTTTCAAGTATTGGGTTGTAGAATTACAAAATAAAAATTTCATTTTTTATTTCGGTGTTTTTCTCAACAGATGGCGAGCGAGTGTCACCCCACGTCACACCTAAGTTTTGAACCATTGAGTTTATTTTTAGTAGTTTGCACGTAAAATATCTCAGAATTATCACCTAAAAACTTGCACCACTTTTAACTACATTTTTTTTATGGGAATCATGAAAGTTACCACTCAATGTCACTATATACACTATACTATACACTTTTCTGCCAATAGTACAATCCTTGAAAAAGTGACCAATTAAAATGTGTTGTTGTTTGATTTTGAAATCACCACACGCGGTCTTTAGTGGTTTGGCATGATGGATTGCAATTTCATCATCTGAGCGGAGTCTGTGGATTGACTGAATTAAAAGATCGGCCGGCTTTATTGTTCACATCTTTGTAAAATATATATCACAGATTTAAATACCAATAAACAGACTTAGATCCATAACAGCCCCACCTTTTGTTGCGTTTCGTTTTATCTGTTCTATCAACTTCCAAGACTATTTAATATCATTTGAAACTGCTTCTGGTTTATTTTTCATTGGAGAATATGGATAAGAGCAAACTTTGACATACTGTGTTGGTAGAGGAGGTCTACTTAAGCCTCAAACTCCAATTAACTGTCAATAACCGGAGAATAAAAATGCCCCTCAACCTGCTGGAGGGATCGATCACGACAGTCATTAGCAGGAAGTTGTGTCAAGTTTGGTTTTACACGTTCAATTTTGCCAACAGCCTCACGGATAATTTAGGTTAATTACAGGGGTGGAGCTAAGAGCACATCAAGGCATCCGACACTAATTGTTTCAACGGGGCAAGGTGCTTTACCTGTCGCAGCAAATCTGCTGTCAGGAACGCATCTGTCAGAGAGCAAGCGGTGATGAGCACTCATTAATCTCATGACTCGAAGCCAAGAAGTTATATGAAAACTTAACAGCCCTGATGTGATGTTTTCCTTTTCCGTTCTCGTAAAAGATGTTTAGCTTATGTGTTTTGAGCAATTTTTTTCTCGTTCCTCTAGCGATCAAAACCATTTGGAATGAGCTATTTTGTGTACTCTGATTCCGTCATCCTATTATGCGAGGTTACTAAAGGTAACAAACAAAGGTTAAACTGAGTTATCCCCTTTAAACGTTCAGCAAAAATTGACTCTTAAACGAGGATTTAAAGTAGTTAGTGCTTAACTGTTAAAAAAGGTTGTTGCGTCTATTTTTTGAGTCAAGAAAGATATATGTTCGACAAATGGCGATTTTGATCATAGAAGTAGTTGTAAGATAAGACTCTGCATGGCGTGAGGCTTAATAAAGTAAAGTGTTGTTCGATCGACCTATAGGCGTTTGGCAGGTGAGTGCCGCCGATTGGCCATCTACGCTGACAACAGCTGATCTAAACTAACAGCTAAAAGGTCTCCACCTATTTGAGAATATCATTTGTGAAAAAACGTACTCCTGTGATACTCAAAAATTCAGTGCGTGCTCGGCTAAGACCCTTTTGGTGCTTTCTTTATGTTGCTGCGGGGGAATCATTAATCCATCATTTCTATAGTGGGTGAAGCATAAGTGCGAACAGCCCATTCGCTCAGTAACCTCCTTCAAGTGACAGGTTAAATGCCTGCGCCGCCGTTGGTTGTAAGCCAAGAGTTTGGGGTTACAGTGCCCGGCGAAACTCACGAAGGAATGGGGAGGAGAAACACTTATAACTGATGGCGACTTGTGCAATACCTCGAAAAAATTCAGCTTTATTTTTTTTAGGTACGTCATTTGAAATACTTTGTATTCTCCTTCAAGTAAAAGGAGGTTATGAACATCTGTAAAGACGATGATAAGACTTTTCTGTTTGGAAAGCTATGCCTTTTTTTCACCAATAGAAAATAAAAAATATAAACCTTACGCCCGTTCTTGAAGTGACATAAAATAAATATTTCATCCTCTATGCCTTATTTTCTCTAAAAAGTTTTAACCTAAATTAAAAGAGTAGAACATGGGCTTAGGAATATTTATCTTATTAATCCCCATTTATAGCATAATTTTTTTTGCAAAGAAATAGTTTGTCATATCTTCATTTTTTATCGTTACTATTTTAGCTCCTAAATTTTGAAATTCGGTTTAATATCATGATTTCTATTTCAGAAACGTGGGGAGAGGAAGTGCTCAATTTTTTTTTTCTTTCATGCATTGTTTCATCTTAGGAGTGTGCACCTCTTCCGGTCCCTTGGGAATAGTCACGTGAGATTGATCCGCAACCGCCTTGCCAATGTGCATTGTACTTGTGTGGCAAGAAAATCGATACCACAAACATAAACAAACACTTCTTAATTAATCGAGTGTATTATTAATGGAACAACAGGTGTCTCCAATCAGAATTCTGAAATAAATAGACGTATTACTCTCTAGCAACCTTCTTGAGCAAATGTATCCGAAAGTGTCGCTGAAAGTCTTGGAACACACGTGTCCTCACGTATATTCGGATCGAATTCGATGGAAATAATTACTGTTGCTTTACAGTCAATAAAAATACTGGTCTGTATTTCACAGATGTTCTATAAAATACATGGACAATCCAAGAATGCAACGAAACACTTTGAAGTTGTTGACGCGGGAACGCGTAACTGTAACTTTAAACATTACTGATCTGAATAAAGAAATGCCAAAGATATAAGATACTTATGTCTAACACACCAAATTCGAATTTACATAAAATTATTTAATCAACAAACCTTTTTCTGCAGTCTATGTCGAAATCCCAAAGCACAACTTCTCTTAACAAGAATCACAAAGTTTCGGTTGAAATTAATGCAGCTCTTATGAGTTCTTTCGAGCGGAGTTTTCCGCTTGTACCCAAGCTCTCGCGGATCGAGAACTATTTACAAGATGGCGATCATGACGACAGAAAGTATGGCGTATTTCAAAACAATGTCCTTCGTCGAAGATGTCGATGCAAAATGTCAAGTGTTTGATACGTCATCTAGATGAATTAGCTCAATCCTCGCTGGCGAGGCCGCCTCCGATTTTCTTTTGCACGTACCCAAGTCACAGAGGCTGAAATTAAAGAATTAACCAATATGGTCGACTGATTCTCCTGAATCAGGAGAAGACCTGATCGAGCTGACTTCAGTTTATCGTGATGGGCAAGATAAGCAAAGGAAATCTCCAAAGGTAGGCAATCAGCGATAGTTTAGGAAACTCCCATACGAACAGTTAAGTCTCGATTTCGTCCAATCTTGATTTGGCCTTGTGCCTCGTGTCATACCATATTGATCAATTTAAATCTACTCTCTGCAAGCCTCTGTAAGTTTTCAGCACTAAGAGTACTGGAAGTTGAAAACAGTACTTTAACTGGTTAAGAATATATGAAGGTCATATATTTGAACTGCGGATTAAGACATGAATGAAAGTGATCTTCGCAGTGATGTGCACTACTTAGGCAGTAGTGAAAATAAGGCCTGAAAAAAATTCAGGCCTGTACGGGATTTGAACCCATGACCTCTGCGATACCGGTGCAGCGCTCTACCAACTGAGCTAACAAGCCAACTGGGAGCTGGTCATGATGGTGGTTCTAAATAAACCCGTGAAGTGATGAATAGACGGTTAAGAATATATGAAGGTCATATATTTGAACTGCGGATAAAGACATGAATGAAAGTGATCTTCGCAGTGATGTGCACTACGTGTGTGCCTAAGTAGTGCGCATTATTACTCAATCAAAGTTGGATTCTACAACCTTCCTAGGTAATTGATTAGGTAAATGTTATACTTCATAATTAAGTTTTTCTTACAGCTTCAACATTCTGCCTATTTGCATTTCTTTGAGCACTCACAATGTCTTTGGAGTCAAACATTTGGTTGTGATATACAGAACTTGAAGATTGAATATGTGATAAGTCAATAAAGTTCTTCAGGAATTTGGGTTCAGCTTTCATTCCAGGTCAGCTGTTGGCATCAACTACCAAACACCAGTGAATGTCATTTCAGTGGCTGATATTTTACCAGGTAGGCTCTAAGTATGTTTTGAGAATGACTAACACTTTTTCTTCCTATATGATTTGTAGATATATGAAAGACATGTAAAAGCAACCCTAAGATTCAGGAACTAGTTCAAAAGCAAGTGGGAGATTTCACTTCAAATATTTAGCATAATGATAAGATAATATGTACTTGTATAACTTCATTAGGGTGAGCCATAACTTTTTGCACAGTATTTGTTAAAGGCTATAATTACTGGTGAGGTGTTCCTGGTTGAAGAAACTGTGAAACTGCCTGGTATTTTCTTTTTTCTTTTATTCCATCTCTGTAAAAACTTCTCCCTTCATAATGATGGCTTGTTTGTTTTTCTCAGGAAAATAGTGCAAGGGTGCATGTACTAACTGCTTGACCAGTGGAATACCTTAGACTCATAGTTTCATGGGTGATAAAATCTAATCGTATCCAATAACTAATATAGTGACTTAAGAAATTTAGTTGGAGTAAATTGACGAAATTTACTCTTAGTGAAAACAAAGCCATGATCTTCACTATTGAAAAGAACTAGAAAATTATATGTAAAAAAAAATTCTGGATAAGTGCTCTCTTCAATTAAACTACTGGCTCTGGTTGTTTGAAGATTGGATGATGCTATCCACTGAGCTGGATAAATCTCTATCTGGTGAATAACGCTGTACGTCTTGCTATTACTTATCCGCTGGGTAGCGATTTATCTGTTGGATAGTGTTATCCACCCTTTATACAACTGGGCCCTGATCCCTGGTTTACATGTGTTCCTGAAATTGTCATCTCAGTTTATTATTTTTTCTTTAACAGAAAGCATTTTGCACATTTTGGGTAGAAATGAGATCCAAGAAGCAATCCACAGAACATCAGATCCTGAAAAGTTTGAAACTGATTTGATAACAGCCTTAAGTCATTTCATTAGGCAGACTCACCATACTGGTAAGTGTCAGAAATATTTTGCTTTCATCTCAGTATAGCCTGTGAGCCCCCATATGACCATTCTGCAGGAGGTTATTGCTTGACTTCAAATCTGTATAACATCAGTTAGAGATCTTTGTGATGTAATTGATGATGAGGAAGGTGGTTAAAAGAGTGGGTCATGGGGCCAATTTTCTAATTTCAGCATGTCTTTGTTGCTACTTAAATCTTCTTTTGAAAAGAAAAAAAAATTGAAATGATACATGTGCAGTAGAACAACAGCGCTGAACAGAGAGTGGAAAGGGAATTTTAAAATGATAACACCGGACTCTCTTATCATTCCAGCCGACAACTTGTAATGTGCAAAAGAAGGAAGACTTTCAAGAATTTTCACAGCTACAAATCAATCGCAACTTCCGATTTAACATAAGGTATAACCGCACAAAAGTGTTATAAACCAATTGCCCCTTCAAACCCATTCAAGGCTCTCTCGTTCTAATAACTCCGACCTCTGAGGCCGTTTTATTTGGAGACCAGTGGGTTTTTTTTCCTTTGAAGCGGTTTTCTACTAAGAAACTATGTAGCTAGATTAAGAATTAAACATTTGCGAGGAGTAACGATTTTGATACAATAGCCCATTCGGCAGTTGTCAGGTTAGAACTGGTTTGCTTATCATATCACTACTAATTATTCTTATTAGTATCACAAATACCGCCTTTGGGGGATCACATAGCGCTATTGGGATGGGCTCTAACATTTGACACTACACATGCGAAAATCACCTGCTAAATTCATGCGTTGTGGGAGTCATATCTTTCTTACTATTGTATTGTTGAGAGGCTAAAATGGTAAGATGTTCATAGCATGTTAGGCTTAATGAGGTAGTTTGTATAAAAATTTTCCTAACAGAGGGTGATTGAGTGAACCCTCTTTGAAATCTAAATATTTATTGAGCTTAGTTACAATAACAGAATTGCGTTTTATTTGCAGATAACTTTCTACGAGATTTGATGCTGCTCAAAGATGGATAGAGAGTCCGTGATCCTGGAGGCATTCGAGAAGAACATCTCATTTCCTTTTCAGTATTTCAATGATAAACATCGAATCACTTCAGTCTTCGTTGCAGATACTTGGTGAACTACTCTTTTACATCCTTGAGAGCAAATTACTTCACTTTGATTTAAAACATCGTTGAGGCTTAGCAGTTTAATATCAGTGCTTGCCTGACACGAGTGTACCTTGCATCAAGATTAATATAACGTGGAAATCACCGACACCTTCCAAATTATCATCCGCAGTGACTAAGTTGCAATAACAGTCCTCGAAACGAAGCAATATCACGTAAAAATTATTTTCCAGACATTTTCTGTAAATGATTGTCTCAGAAAACTGACGAAATGATAGAGAGATACGTGCGATGGAACAACATCCGTCCAAGAGCTAGGAATGGCAACATACTTTGGAGGTTCGTGAAACAGCCAAAAGGTTTATCTGTTAAGCGTAAAAATTAACGAATTTTTATCCTTAGTCCTTAAAAAAAAAATTAACCGTAGAAAAATTTCTGGTGGCCACAATAGAAAGATACAGACCGTTAGCTGTAAATTGGCCAAAATTTTAACATTTAGCTGTAAAAGGCTCTGTCTCCCCATTGCGACCCTCACATCACAACATCATTAAAGCTAAGTCTTAAACCCCGCGATCTTTTATCGCGAGAGTTTGTCTAGTGTAATATTTGTTATGATGCTTTTGATATGTTGATGTTTGATCAAACCCGTGAAGGAGCAAACAAACAGTAAACAAGCAAAATAAAAGTGTGGTCGTGGTTCCAAGTTAAAATACTGACTACTTTTGTTTAATGATAAGCCAGAGGTGACAAACAGCCATAAAGGCGCTTCTTCATAAGAGTTAAATCATGTTGTACTCGTAAGCCGGAGAGCTTTAGAAACTTAAGCTTCAACAAGCCTGTTGCCCCAATCCGAATTACGGGGGATAAACACAGCTTTATTTGATCATGAACGGTGTCTTGTTCATAGCCGATACGATCGTGTATCGTTATATGTGGTACAGTTTGTCATTTCTGAGGCCATGTTATCTCATCTATCCAGAGTTACCTTTGTTCCCTACTAATTATTCCTTCCTACTCTTTATCATAACTATTCTGTGAAAACCAACTTCTCATTTTCTCGCCGTTTGCAGATTGAAGATATCTGAACGTAGCTTATTTGACATCACCCGGCTTAGAAGTTAAAACGTTTCTTCCATTTGGATGAAGATAAGTGGAATTAGCAGAACATCGAAAGACCCCAATAAACTTAGAGATTATCGTTGTTTGAGTTCTGGGCAAGCTTTACATTTTTGAGCTCATCCACACTAGTGTATGATCAACCCTTCAATTAAGCGCTAAATTAATCACCTCCGTTATAAATCCGTCACATAAAGAGCAGTTTGGTTATGTATACTGATAGCTATAATGTCTCCCTCACCCTTGAAGGAAAGTATACGAGATATAGAAATTTGCTTGCCTATTTGCCTTTTGAAAGGTGTTCTGAGATCTCTTCGAGAAGCGAGGTTATGAACGATACTCATGTTTTTAAGAGGCATATTCAGACACATTGTTTCGAAATATTCTGGATTATTTCAAACCCACTGTCAATTTTTTCGACAATTTTATCAGAAATTCCTCAACGGGACATTTTTATGTTTAAAGATAGATTTCGATTCTAAAACAGTCCTTAAATAATAGACCCCTGGAGATGCAGCAGATCGCTGAACACCGGAAACCTTTGACGCGACCGCATTTCAAACAAAAACGATTATTCATTGTATTAGAGAAAGGAGTATGCGCAATTTTGGTACTCACTTCAAAAATTAAAAGAGATAGCTCCATCCGATAGTCCAAACAAGAGAGGAAGCGGCTATTCTGTTATTGCGGGACAATCGTGTGATCTGCGGTGAAAGAAAGGAAATTGTACCAATACTTGGTCGTCAGCGTTAATCACAGGGGCGGAGCTTTTGACAGGATTGCGTCAAATATGGGCAGAAGAATGCCCACAAAAATTGCCGCCTTGTCATACAAACACTTGAAAACCTTCAGAAAAGTGCCTCAGAATATACGGAAAACTCTCGAAACTTAATAGAATGTCGTAGTTTCAAGTCCTAAGTTGTAGAATTACAAAAAAAGAATTTTATTTTTTGTCTTGGTGTTTTTCACAACAGATGGCGAGCGACTTTCACCCCACGTCATACCTAAGTTTTGAACCGTTGAGTTTATTTTTAGTAGTTTGCACGCCAAACGAAAAATATCTCCAAATTATCACCTCAAAGTTTGCACCACTTTTAACTGCGTTTTTTTCTTAAAGGGAATCATCAAAATCACCACTCAATGTCACTTTATAACCCTTAGCCTTGATACACTTTTCTGCAAGAAGTACAATCCTTCCAGAAGTGACCAAATAAAGTGTGTTGTTGTTTGTTTTTGAAATCACCACACGCGGTCTTTAGAGGTTTGGCATCATGGATTGCAATTTTATCGTATGAGCGGAGTCTATGGATTGACTGAATTAAAAGATCGGAAGCTTTATTGTTAACATCTTTGTAAAATATATATCACAGATTTAAATACCAATAAACAGATTTAGATCTGCAACAACCCCACCAATTTTGTTCCGTTTTATCTGTTTTATCATCTTTCAAGACCATTTAATATCATTTGACACTACTTCTGGTTAGTTTTTTACTGAAGAACATAGATAAGAGCAAACTTTGACACACTGTGTCGGTAGAGGAGGTCCAGTTTAGCCTCAAACTCCAATTAACTGTTAATAACCGGAGAATAAAAATACCTCTCACCTGCGAGAGGGATCGGAAAGTACAGCTATTAGCAGGAAGTTGTATCAAATGTGGTTTGCACGTTCAATTTTGCCCACAGCATCACGGATAATTAAAGGGTTAATTACAGGGGTGGAACTAAGAGCACATAGAGGAATCCAACACTAACTGTTTCAACGGGGCGAGTCGCTTTACCTGTTGCAGTAAATCTGCTGCAGAAAATCTACTGCCAGGAACGCATCTCTCAGAGAGCAAGCGGTGATGAGCACGCTTTAATCTCATAACTCGAAACCAAGAAGTTGGTACATACTGTATGGTCGAACAACATATAGTCACTTTGTAAACTTTCATCATGTAGGCTATGTTGTTGAGTCAATTTGTGGAACTGTTATGTAGAACATCACTGTGTCAACTGGTGCAATAGATACATCCATTTACATTGTCTACAGTAGATACAACTATCCTCACTGTCTACAGAAGGTACAACTATCTACACTGTCTAGAGAAGAAACAACTATCTACACTGTCTTCAATAGGTAGAACTATCCACACTGTCTGCAGAAGGTACAACTATCTACACTGTCTAGAGAAGGTACAACTATCTACACTGTCTAGAGAAGATACAACTATCTACACTGTCTACAATAGGTACAGCTATCTACACAATCTACAAAATGTACATCTAGTTGTACCTACTGTAAACAGTGTTGTTGAAATTTGCTGAAAAAGTAGACTATCCCACCAAAACGAAAAGTAGCAAATTCCACACATAAATTATTCGATCGCTCAAGGTTATACAACGAACGAAGATTCTACCAAATTTAACTCCACGTGAGTTTTCTTCGCCAGTGGCTCTGTCGCCATTTTTGTAGCAGTTCCGGTGGGGAAAGTGTAAAGGTATTCAGCGGATACGTATCTAGGGCTATAGAAACCATATAAGCTTCACGGAAATTACAGAACATTTCGCTTTAGCATACATGACCTACAAGTGTTACCCGCGCTAGATGTAAATATAAGTCAGCTTCCAAATGGTATCAGTTGTTGATAACTTATGTTTGGTAAAACCCCACGTCTGCCTGCTTTATCCAGAACTGAGAATGCTACCATGCCATCCTGGTAAAATTTTGTGCAGTGACGAAGTTTATGTCTATCCAATAATTAAAAAAAAAAAGATATCGAGCACGAGGTAATAGTTTGACAATTTGAGAGGAACTACAAAAGACATAACTCATAAAAAGCAAACAAAACAAAAAAAAAAAGCATTCTGTTTCAAGTTTTGGTAAAGACTGTAGCTTCCCAGTGTTTTCACTGTTTTTTTCTTTTTTTATGCGGTTTTGGTACAGTTTTCGGTACTTGTCATTTGCTTCTTTTCCCTTTCCATTCTTTTTCAAGTCTTTGTGGATGAATCTAACAATTGAGTGCTGCATAAGGTAACATAAGGTAAAGGAAATCTATTTATAATAAATATGTTCACAGAAAAATGCGTTTTTGCTGACTTTTCTATTTTTACCTCTTCTTTTCATCATTGTTATCTTTCCTTTTCCTTTTTTGGTTTCTGAGCATTTATCTTCTTCGGTTTTGGTATTTGTCACAATCGGAAAGGCCTCTCGATTTGCACATTTTGTTTGCATCGAGTCTTCCATTACACAACAACAGGGAATTTATGGCACATTTCGCATAGGGTTTAATAAGTAAAGTATTCATCAAACAGCCGAATAGTCGCGAGAGAGCCCAGGCTGAAGAAATCGAAGCTAAGTTTTTCTTTTCCCTTAGCTTACTTTGCCCAATTTTCTTTCTTTTTCTTTACTGCATTGTAAATTCGGAATGACTTTTCCCGCCAATTTAAGAGGAACTCTTTGTTACGAGACTAATTCGACCAAGGAATTCGATGATGCGTTCCATCGGTCGATCGGCAGCATGTATGCATCGACACACGCTTAATAAGGTGCGGAAACTGTGAATTTCTTCGGAGGCCAGTTTACGATCGGACAACGACATCCCAACGTCAGAGTTCAGCACGTGGACATACTGAGAAAACGTCTACCTCCTTCTAACTTGCATTGTCTATCAAAGGATGATGAGCTTGAAATGGATTATACATGTGAAACGTGAAAGGAAGAAAACAGGTTAAAAAAATACATAAAACGGTTAAAGTAAAACAAAACCATTTCTATTTCAAGGAAAAAGAGTCTGTCAGCGACTTCTGAGCAACAGAAAACACCACAGGATTCAGAATATAACTAACAATTAACCAAGTGGCCCGAAAAAGAAAAACTGCTCAGAAATTAAAAAAAGGAAAAAGGAAGACAAAAATGATGATGATAAGGAGAAAAAGAAGAAAAAAACAGCAAAAACAAAATGCAAGTTTCGTGGGGAGGAGTTCCTCGACCCCCAAGCCAGTTTAAAAGTTACTCCTTGTCTGTCAGCTCTAAATCATACTCGGGGAGAAGTTATTCGGCCCCCAAGCCAGATTGAGAATAACTCCTATAGCGTGATTCGAACCCGCGACCTCGATGACCTCTCATGCACTCGTTGCGCGCCTACGATTGCCGCTAGACCATCTCGAAACTACATATTATATTAGCATAAATTGTCGGTGTAATGAATTTTAAAGTACCAGGCTGGGGGGGAGGGTGAGGAACTTTTTGTTACTGAGAGTGCAATCGAGCGTTTCCGGTCAAGATTAAAGGAAATTAATTATACAAAGAACTGAAAAAAGCGATCTACACGAGGAATATTAGCATATGTTATAATGGCGGACGGCTTCGTTTACTAAAGCTCGTTAATGTGATTCCTCAGTATTGCATTGCACATCTTTTACTGCGCATAAAAATCACGTTATCATATAAATAAAGGGGTAAGTTTCTAAAGAAACTGTGGTGCTGCGTCGGTGGAAGAGTATAGCAGGTAATTTAGCGTTAACAACTGGGTTGAAAACGTAAATTAGCCACCGTAAAGGGTAAAAAAGCTGACGTTTCGAGCGTTAGCTCTTCGTCAGAGCGGTTGACGAAGGGCTAACGCTCGAAACGTCAGCTTTTTTACCCTTTAAGGTGGCTAATTTACGTTTTCAACCCAGTTGTTAACACTAAATTACCAACGTTATCATATAGGCGAATAAGCGCGCTTAATGGATTTTAATTCATGGACCAGGTTAAAAGGCTCGATGGTCCGCTTTAGCTCTTTATTGAGCACACTGACCTATATTTTTTTTCGCATAATTCTGGTGTACAAATTATCCCTTTTTAGATTGGAGAATCTTATTTGGCCTTTTTGGCTCCGATGAATCCCTCAATAAAGAAGATGGTAGTCCTCTTGTAATAACAAAATTTGCAGGGTTTAGCTTCAGCTCGCATTGCATATCGATTTGAAAACTGAAATGAATAATACAGAAGTAACGTAGGAGAAAATAAATGGGGGAAAATAGATAACACGGTTGCAGAAACAAAACCATTTCCAATTTGAGGAAAAAGAGTTTTTGCCTGCGACTTCTGAGCTACAGAAAACACTACAGGATACAGAAGATATAGCTGACAACAATGAAATCACGAGGGGGATATATACCGCATGGTAGAACAACATATAGTCACTTTGAAGAAATTTTACAGAGTTACTATATGTCGTTCTACCATGCAGTATATACCCGTACTCCAGAGGTTCGGCTAAGACCCCTTTGGTGCTTTCTTTATTTTGCCTAGTGGAAGTCATTAACCCATCATTTCCTTCGTGGGTAAAGCATGCATGAGTGTGAACAGCCCATTCGCTCAGTAACCTGCTTCAAGTGACAGACCAAATGCTTGCGCGGCCGTTGATTGTAGGCCAAGAGTTTGAGGTTACAGTGCCCGGCGAAGCTAACGGAGGAATGGGAAGGAGAAACCTTAAAACTGACGGCGGCTTGGGCACCTCGAAAAATTCAGCCTTATTTCTTTTTATGTACGTCCTTTGAAATCCAGTGAAATCTCCCCCAATCTTTGCTATGTTTTTTACTTTTTAGCTATAGTTGCCTCTTGTTTGTTATTCTATCTTTATCCGAATTTAAAATACTTTGTATTCTCTTTCAAGTGAAAGGAGGCTATGAATATCGAAAAAGACGATGATAAAACCTTGAGACGTTGCTGTTTGTGAAGGCTATGCCTTTTTTCACCAATAGAAAGCCAAAGATATTAACCTTAAGCCCGTTCTTGTGGTGACATAAAACAAATATTTCATCGTCTGCGTCTTATTTTACACCGTCCCGCTTGTGAAATTCAATATACCCAGGGTTTGTTCTCTATTAGTCCTCTTATTTTCTCCAAGAATTTTAACCTAAATTAAAAAAGTGTAATATGGATTTAGGAATATTTTCCTTATTAATCCTTATTTATTAACATACTTTTTTTTTTGCAAAGAAATAGGTTGTCATATCTTCATTTTTTATCGTTATTATTTTAGCTCCTAAATTTTAAAAGTCGGCGTTATATCATGACTTCTATTTCGGAAACGCAAGGAGAGCGATGCTCCATTTTTCTCTTTTTTTGTAAGCATTGTTTGTTTCGTCTTAAGGAGCTCTTTTCTTAGATGACTTTCTTACTGTGTGTGCCTCTTTGGGTCACTTGGGAATAGCCATGTGAGGTTGATTTTCAACCGCCATGCAAACATATTCTGTACTTGTGTATCCAAAATAATATAACAT